TAACTCTCTAATAAATATAGAAAAAAAGATAGTTTTTATATATATATATATATATATATATATATATATATATATATTCTTATGTATCACATTATTAAATATTACGTTAATTTAATGATGATAAGTTAATAAATAATTAAAATTTAATGCTCAATGAACATCAAAATGATAATAAAACTAAAAATTTTGTATTTTTAAAATAGAAAAATTAAATGTCACTATTTTAAAATAAAAAGATCAAAATTATATATTAAAAAAATAGAAGAATCAAAAATATAATTGATTATTTATTTTTAAAATTTGGTACCCTAATTTTTTCCTAAATCTGATCATCTTCCACTATTTTAATAGTCGAATCCATCCTATCCATCTATTAACTTGATATATATAATATTTTCAAAAATGATATTATACTATACATCCACATCAATACTTTCCTACCCAAATTGATAAACCAAAATTTCACGGTTAAATTAGTGGAAACCAAATTCATAAAAAAGGAAAATAAAATCGAAAAATGACTAAAATAATATCAAATGTTCAAATAGATAATTAAATATACATAACTAAACGAGTCTTAGAAGAAAAAAAATAGACATGAATAATACAGTCCAAACTTTATTGTCAAGATGCATACTCATATCTCTAAGAAATCAATCCGAAGTGATTTTAGTACTATTTCTTATGGAACTTCCAAACCGAAGCCATTATCACATTGGAGGAGCTTGAAGACTTCAACTTGCTTGTGCTTTGAACCTATAATGTAATACCAAAACAAAATCTTTAAAATTTGAACTATACTTATAATAGTATTCAGCATTCACCTTGCACAGTTCAAACATCTACACCTTCTGTGGAGTCTGTAAAATACTTTTTACTTGTAAAATTATTTAACCTTAAGAATTGAAGGGGTTTCAACTGTTTAGATCATTTTAAAAGAAAATTAGTTACTTTTATTTATTATTTTCAAACTATAGTTGCCAACCTAATGCAACGCAGCACTCTTGTTCAAATTTATTTTGCCTTTGCCAACTATGAATGGTCCAACAAAATTGGAAACAAGTGCCCCCACAAGTAAAACAAATAATGGAAATCATTAACCGTTTGAATATTTATTAATTTATTTTGAAATGAGGGTAATTATCATCATCAGTCTAAAATTTTTACATAATTAACTGTTAAAAAATTACCTCTGTATTGATTTTTAACATAATTATTATAAAAATTAATAAATTTATCATGGATAATCATAAGTTGCCATCATTGTAATTTTTATCGATAAAAAAAATTATATTTTCAATAATTTCAGTTAAATTCTTTTGAAAAATTATTTTTTATCTATAAAAATTATAATTATGATAAGTATTGAGACACTTTGTGTCTTTATTAAAAATAAAATAAAAATAAAAATTAAATAATAAAAATATGTTGATCTAATTGATATTATGATTAGTCCATTAATTTTAAGTTTTTTAAATTTGATAAAAAAAATATTATTTTTCCTAATTTTTTAAAATAAAAGGATAAAATGATCAACAAAATGTGGAGATCAAGATTTGAATTTAAGATTTTGTGTATCTTATCTCATACTCAACTTCTAGACAAATTTTAATGAATCAAATTCTTTTGAAATTGATCCAAGGTAAAAATTTTAAATCGGAGGTAAATAAAATTAAAAGTTAACTGTAGTACAATTCTTTTACAAAACTTCATAGAATTGTTTTGCTTTTCATCTTTAAAATAATATCAAAGTATCTTACCTTATTCTTGATCTTTTGGCCCTTTCTCGATTTTAATTCTCCAGCATGATTTTCGAGATATTCCTTTAATTGTTGGTCGTTCATGGTCTCGATCACATCGATCTATGAAAAAAAAAAATCAACATGTTGAGTAGAAAGAAACAAAGAAATTAAAATTGTTGAAAAAAATATATAATAACAGTGCTGGCACAACTATTTTCATAATCAAAGGCATTCAGAAGTATCAATATAACTAAAACTAACAACAAATTTGAAAGTACTGAAAGAACTAAAAGAGGATATACATACCCATGTCTTAAGGTCATCTATATCCTTTCTTAAAACCTCTTCTTTCTTCTCAGCAAGTTCTTTCTTCTCTTTCCATGACATTGATACCATTTTCTTTTTCGTTTTTTGCTTGCTTATCTTATTCTTTCTTCCTCCAACCAAATTCATCATGATTTTGTTTTATGGGCCACAAAATATTTATACATGTGCCATAATGAATGAAATGGGTCAATCAATTAGATCGGTTTACAAGGATGTGCCATCAAAGAATGTATTAAAAAAATTCATAAGTATATATTAATACACATTATCTCTGATCTTAATTATAAATAATATAAGATAAATCATCAAGATAAAAAAAATTAATATAGTTATACTTTTAAAGAATTTTACCATTCCAAATGTATCATTTACTTTAAGTGTTAGTTATATTTAATAATAGTTATAAATAAATGTATAAGAAATAGAATTAACAATCGATTTAAGCTGTTAAAAAAAAATTTAATCATAAATAACTTTAAAAACTAATGATTATTACTAATAATTAAAAATAAAGAAAAATTTAATTTGTTATTTAATTATAATTAGAATCACATATATAATAATATTTAAGAAAAAAAAAACATTGCATGTAAATAACGCAACCTTCTTGGCATTATGTAAACGGTAGTTATTGACTTTTACCGACAAATGTGGTAGCCATTAATGGCTTAACACCGGCCTAATTAGTGTAATTCATTTGACTTTAACATACTTTTATAATATTTATTATTAAGGATTGATATTGAAAAATGCCCAAAATTTTGCTCCAACGTCAACGTTGCAAGTAACAAACCCAATTAAGATATTTGGTATATAACATAATATGTAGAATGCTCAATTTTAAATAAATTTTCATCAATTTAATTATAAAAAGAAAATATAATATTAATTACAATATTTTCGATATGAAAGAAAATATCTATCCCAAAATAAGTGTCAAATTACTTTTTAATGTAATATTAATTATAATATTTTCAATTTATACCCTAATAATGTTTTTTAAATATATATAGTTGTTGTGATGTATCATTCCCTAAACAAATATTAATAAAAAGATAATTTTGTAAAACTCCTACCTCTCTCATTTATTTATCATCTTTTTTGTTCTGTGTAAAAAAGACTATCATGCAAAGAAACTACTTAAAATTTGTCATACATACTATGATTTCTAATTAGTTAAGAATGTATAACATCTTAACATTGTTAGTTCATAGCAATTAAGCTCTTATTAAAATATAGGTATCTTTTTGGATTCTAAAGTGATAATATCATACATAAACAATTGACATTAATAAATAAAAGAAAATGATACTTGTGCAACAACGGGCATGAATTACCTGTGCAATGCAGGGAATTAAACAATGGCTAAAATTATCTAGTAAATTTTGAAAAGAATTAAACTATTAGTAATATGTAGATTAATTTAAATAGTTCAATTATATGGGAAAAACATGATTTGGTTAAATAAAAAAAATTATTATTTAGAAAGAAGAAAATGTATATATACATAGAGAAAGAAGGATTCTACTTAGTCCATTCAATAACTCATGTTTTACATCAAATTAAAACGATCCAACCATGAATTAAATATTCTTAATGTATTGATTAAGTTTGGAAGGTTAATAGAAAACTATTTCATACCTTGTTTCATTAATTCAAATTGATAGATATATGCATACATGATTTATGCATTAAATTTTTTTCATTTAATGGTTAGATTGTTAAAATTTGATATAAAATATGAGTTATTGAGTAAAATAAGTTTAATAAAATTTACTCTTAAGTTTAATAAGACTTACTCTTAGAGTAAGTGGACCCCTTCCTATATATATAATCACATTACAATTATTACAATAGTGAATTAGAAAAAGAAAGAAAGATTGTAATAAATCGTGTGTTCATTGTATATGATCTAATGTTGATACACTTTCATGCAAAATAGTGTTAGAAAACATGGTTGAATTCAAGAAGGGGGTGAATTAGATGATTAAAACATTTACTCAAAAGTTTTCTTGGTTAAAAACTTTTATAAGATTTCCAATTGATTCAATTGCTATTAGCTATTAAAGGGATGATGTCGAACTTGGATTATGCAAAATGCTTATGCAATACCTTATATGATATGCATCCAATTCAGTCAAATAGGTATATGACACTACTAGAAAATTACAAAATAGCGACCGAAATTAGCGACCGAAATTTATCAGTCGCTATTTAGCGACTGATTTAGCGACCGATTATGAAAAATCAAAATAGCGGGCGATTTAGCGACCAAAATAAGTCGTCGCTAGAAAATCGGTCGCTATTTCGGTCACTAAATAATTTTTTATTTTTATTTTTTAGCGACGGAATTAAATTCGGTCGCTATTTCGGTAGCTAAATTATAAATTTTGATTTTTTTTAGCCACGGAATTAAATTCGGTCTCTATTTCAGTCGCTAAATTATAAATTTTGATTTTTTTTAGCGACGGAATTTAATTCGGTCGCTAAATAGTAGTTAAAATTTGTGACGAAATTGAATTCGTCGCTAAATAGTAGTTAAATTTAGCGACGGAATTAAATTCGGTCGCTATTTCGGTTGCTAAATTATAATTTTTGATTTTTTAGCGACGGAATTTAATTCGGTCGCTAAATAGTAGTTAAAATTTGTGACGAAATTGAATTCAGTCGCTAAATAGTAGTTAAATTTAGCGACGGAATTAAATTCGGTCGCTATTTCGGTTGCTAAATTATAAATTTTGATTTTTTAGCGACGGAATTTAATTCGATCGCTAAATAATAGTTAAAATTAGCGACAAAATTGAATTCGGTCGCTAAATAGTAGTTAAATTTAGCAACGAAATTGAATTCGGTCGCTAAATTATAAATTTTGATTTTTTTCGACGGAATTTAATTCGGTCGCTAAATAATAGTTAAAATTAGCGATGGAATTGAATTCGGTCGCTAAGTATTAGTTAAAATTAGCGATCGAATTGAATTCGGTCGCTAAATTAGAAATTTTGATTTTTTAGCGACGGAATTGAATTCGGTCGCTAAATCAGAAATTTTGATTTTTTTAGCGACGGAATTAAATTCGGTCGCTAAATATTAGTTAAAATTAGTGATGAAATTGAATTCGGTCTCTAAATCAGAAATTTTGATTTTTTTAGCGACAGAATTAAATTCAATCGCTAAATATTAGTTACAATTAGCGATGTAATTCTATTCGGTTGCTAAATATTAGTTAAAATTAACAACGAAATTCTATTCGGTACCTAAATATTAGTTAAAGTTAGCGACGAAATTCTATTCGGTCACTAAGTAAAACTTAAAAAAAATTATAAATTGCTTAAAAGTGATGATAATATTTTTGTTGAGTATCAATCCCATTTTCTTTTTTTTGTAAGAGCAA